CAGGCTGTCAGAGGAGCCCACATTCCCAGAAGACAGGTTTCCAGATTCTGTTTTGCCATCTAGAGCATGGCCCCGAGGCCAGTTCTCCTATTTTCAGTGTATCTTACCCTTAACTAAACACCTGCAGAGATTTCTAGCCTAACATGTTTCTGAGCCCCGGCCTACACGGCCTCTCATTTCCTTCCCAGCAGGACTGGAGTCGAGGACCTGGGTCCTTGCTCAGCCCAGCCTGCTGCCCATAGCGTTCAGTTAGCACAAAGAGAAACTGGCTCCTGACAGAGACCTGAATTCAGAGAAGGGGAGGAGTGTCAGAAGAGACAGGTTGGAAGCTAGAGCTCACCCTCCAAAGAAGCCTACGACAGGGAGATGCTGCTGAGCTTGGCGACACCGCAGCTCAACAGCCTTGCCCGATGTCAGCCTCGCCTGGCAACAGGCTGCCGGTTGGCCCCCAGGTCCACCAGCTGTGACCGGAGATGCAGAACTGCTGAGGCCAGGAATCTGGTTCTTCTGGACTGTTCCCCTCCCTGCGAGGCTGAGTCCAGTCTCCCCTGGCCACAGGGTATCCAGTCTTCTGGGTGGTTCCAGCCGTGAGACCTGGAATCCAGCACTGCAGCCCCAGGCAGGGCGGGCTCGCAGGAAAAGCAGAGCTCAGCTCAGCACTACCAGGGGCCGACCCTGCTGTACTCGACCGCCGTGGGCCTTGGTGTTTGTAAAACAGGCTCTTTCTAGGCCTGTGTCAAGAATGATAGGCGCAAAACTATTAAACAGTTGGGTTTTGGGTTTTGTATAACTTCGCTGTATATCAAACTAATTTTTACAAATTTGCATCCTAAACCTCAAACCATGTAATTAGCAATTTGCCTGTTTGTTTTTGTTGCAAAGTGGTATTATCAGAGGAAAAGTGTTTGTGCACTGTGTGGGAAAGAAATTAGGAACAGAACCATTTTCTCTTTTTAAAAAAATGATATGAGATGACAAATATGACCTGTCTCGGCAACGTCAAGCACACCATGGGGACCTGACAAGTGTTTAGGATGGAATTCGGGTGAAAGGGGACTGAACGCAGCTACCATGGCAACACTGATGAAGGAGGGAAAGGGAGCCACAGCTCCTACTGCTTGTGCTTTTTCTAAATAAGCAAAACTGACATCCCTGCCTTTCCAAGTCACCATTCACAAAGGGCCTACACTACACTGGCTTCTTGGAAAACCTTTCCCTTCCACTGTCTCCCGTGGGTGTGTTGTGGCAAAACCAGCGAGGGCGCAGGTAGATTGGCAGGGAACTCGGGATCGCCTTTTCGGGGCGTGTTATCAAGAATCAGTGACGTGACTTCCATCTCCGCTCCTTTCCTTTCCGACGGAACGAATGAAGAGCTCTGCCCTGGGATCTCACCCCAGATCAAATACCATCTGCACAGAATGGCCATAATGGGGTTTCTTTAAGCAGCAGATAGTTCTTAAGTAGGTCCCCAGGTAGGGGCCGGTGCTATTTTTCATATTCAAACACGTCTGGGGTGACAGTACTTAATGTGAGGGGGTAGCCACAGATCAGATAACCGGCAGCAGATTCTAAGGCGGATCGTTGAGTCAGAAGCCACACAGGATTGGGGGCAGGCACACAAGCTGAGCTCCTGTGGCTGGAGCCCCCCAGCCGAGCCTCGTCTGTCTGAGCTGTTCTCGAAACCAGACTTATGGGGAGAATCCCAACTGGGAATCCATGCTGAATTTCTCATCCCTCTTCCCGAAAACACAGAATTCCAGGCAGCCACTGCGGCAGGGCCCACTTCTCTCTCCGCGTCTCTCTCACACGTCCTTCTATTCTCTGTCCCCACCCCCCAGACCAAATCAAGATGGCAAGTCGTGAGTACTTCAGAATGAGCCTCCAGTGGCAGTAACAAGAGAGACATCAGAATTGCAGGTCATCACGTGTCATCATTCTGTTGATTACTTTTCTCCAGAAACCACAATTTGAATTAGTGATTTACCGTGAGAATATATGTACAAATTCTATCCCTCTAAATAGTTATCCGTCAGCTGAACCAGTGGAAAGTAAGGAACATACATTGCACTTGACCACCCACCACACTGCTAACTCCAACCATTAGGCACTGGTCTTCGTTTTCCCTGATGAGTTAGCAGCACGACACCCAGCTAAGCAATCCTTCCTGCCTCAAGAGCTTCCGTCACAGGCTTCCAGGAAACCATGTGCCCCGGTCCCACCCTACCTTATCAGGGGCTCTTCTCAGTCTCCTCCCTGGCCACCAACACTGCAGGGCCCCAGGCTCATCCCTTGGTCCTCTCTATAGTCACTGCCTGGTGACATGACCAAGGCCCACGGCGCTAAATGGTCCCTTTGCAGATAACACCCATCTTGAGCTGCCAGCCGAGACCTGTCTCCCAAACACCAGGCTCTACATCCAACTGCCTACTCAACAGCTCCACCTAAACATCTAGTTGACATCTCAAACTTACATCCAGAACCACACTGGGTTTCTGTCATCTGCAGTGTCCTCCACCTCAGCTGGTGCAGCTAGCTACACTGTTCTAGTCACTAGGACCACAGGCCAGGGCTGGGGTTCATCCTGGCTCCTCTTTCATGCCAACGTCCGAGCTGTTCGCAAATCCTATTGTTCAGAGCGGCCACTGGTGTAGTATAGATCCAAGAGGTAAACATTACTGGGAGACAATTCTTCATGGGTCTCATTTTTCTGCACTCGAGAGCAAAAGTTCTATCTTTTTTTGCTACACAAACAGCCTTGGAAGACAGAGATGTCTCCTAGAGCCAAGGGTAGGTTTCCTTAATGTCCAGGAAGATAAAAGGCAGGTTTGCTTGCCATCCTTCATAAAAGATTTGGATTCCCTAAGCTCGAGGGTCCTTAGCTGTGAGGCAGACCCACTACATGCACAGCACCCACCTGGATGATTCTGCATCTGACGTGAAGCTCAGGCTCCTTGCTACACTGTAAGTCCTCTGTCTGTAACCCAGAAGTCTTGTGTCTTATTCCAGGACCCAGGAAATTATGGCAGGCTTGCCTGTAAGTTTTTAAGGTGGCAAAATCCCACTTGACAGTATTACATATAACGTTTGGAGCATGGAGACTTATAATTAGATACACAGGAAACCCACAATGTTTTTAAGGGTACTGTATTTCAGGCATTCATCCTTCTATGAATAAGAAAGCTACTCGGGTGCTACCAAAGACTATTTCTTTGGAACTAGGCAAGGCATGTGATGAAAAAGGACATCTTAAAACCAAGAGCTAGACTGAAGAGCCTCTGCCAGAGAACAGAAGTTGGACCCCATCACAGAACAATTTTCACTCCCAGAGTCTGACACTTTGTCCAGTGGAATTTCAGAATTGGTAGGCAAATGACAACTCATGAGTCCTATTCTTCACCTGTCAAATGGAAAAATTTCTTGCAGATGGCCTGTCCGTCTCACTACTGTGCACTTGGTATATAGAGGGCAACTTGTCTATTTACTTTGTAGGTTTCTGTAGAAGATGCATTTAGATTACAAGACCCTGGACTTTAAGTCTGCTATAACTGGGTAAGACTCTGGGTATCCTAGGACTGGGGTATGCATACTTTGCGGGGGACGGGGGGACAGGTGATGCGTAACTGTGGTCAGAAGGCAGATGCAGGCACATTGATAGTATTAATGGTTCCAATTTGTCATGCCCGCCCACCCCAATACTGCCTCTGTACATGACACATTAGGACCGCTGCAAACTTAACACAAAGGCTTAAAAAGGCACTTCCAAGTTTCTGTTCCCTCTTTTGCTCCTCTACAGCCATGAGAAATGCCTGGGCAGGCCTGCTGAGGGAACAAGTAACACGTGGCAAACAGCCAAATCATGCCAGGCAAGGCCATCCTAGACCAGCCAGACCACAGCCAAGTCATGTCAGACACGTGACTGCAGATGCTGGAGCCAAGACCAGCTGCACATGGCACAAACTAGCAGGGCACCCATCCAATCTGCACACTCAGGAAAAATGGATGGTGGTTGTTTTAAGCTTCCAAGGTTAAGTGTGGGTATTAGGCACGAATAGCTGATGGACAAGATAGGTAATCGTTTTGTTCTTATCTGCCTGGATACTTTGGCCTTAAAAGTCAATATATCTAGATTTTACGCCTTTTCATTCTCACAACTGATGTCACCTCTGGGCTCTACAAACACATTTCTAAATGGATGCATGCCTTTTTTTTGCAACAAGGAAAACACTTCCATTCTTATCATCAGGAGACAGTCATACATGGGTCAAACACAGAACTTCCACACTTCACTACTGGAAGGCAACCAAACTTCCTCAAGGCGTCAGTGCCTCCCACCCACCTCCAACCACGATCAACAACAGTAAATAAACTGAATCTAGAAGATATAAATGGGTAAGATGTATAAATCCATAGAATATAAATGATTCAATAACTAAAAAGGAAGAAAAAGGAAAAGCAGCATTTCTAAATTCCACCATTTTAGAATTTACTTTCACTAATGCAGTTTGTGGCTTTGTGAAATAGTGTGGCCACTCGGAGTTCATGACTCAAGTCACATTCTCGTAACATCCCATTTGTGCTGATGGTACCAATTCCATTAAACTTGCACAAGAGCCCTGGGAAAGTTGGGTGAAGAGGTTACCTGTCAGATGTTACTGAAGTGATGACATGCAACTTTCTTTTTGTTTCATTTTGAGCCAATACATAACTTTGTTACCTTATCCCCAATTTTTATCCAAAAAACAAACTGTAGAACTCATTAAAAAAGCAGTTTTCCATATATTAGGAATCACCAACGGCACAACTTTCAGTTATCACAGAGAATTTCTGCACCAAATTAACTATACTTTGCCATATTAATACAACCTAAAGCTTTTTAAAAACTTAACTATATCACCTCAAAATACTCAACTAAAACAATACTCCCACCTAGTGGACAGAGAAAAAGCCTGGCTTATTTCAGCTGTGAAGAGCAGCACCATAAAAAGCAACTATAACAACAATGAATTTTAAATAAGTTTATTGTTTTTAACATCCTCACAACACCCCCTTGGAAAAAAGAAACCTATGAAACAGTGCCACTGTGGCCCCCAAAGGAATGGACACGTAACACACATGACAAAACCATCTGGAATCACGTGTAGATGTTACTCTGAATCTCATTTGTCATCACCAGTTTCTTTAGTATCTCTTTGCTCTGGGGGATGTTCTGAAAGGAGAAAATAAATTAACATGATGAGACTGAGAATTCAGTTAGAAGCACTGTGCAGCCCCAACCCCTAGTCCCAGCACCCAACTGGAAAGGGCACTGCTGTTCACCTCCTCTTTCAATCAAAGGGCATGTAGGTCACACATCTAAAGGTATCCTCCCATCACCCAAAACTCAGAGGAACCTCTCAGCCTCCACAGGCCATCTAAAGCCTGGAGGCGCCACAACACTCTAGCTTGGACCATCTCTCCCCATGAGCTCCAACTTCCCTCTGCAGCGCACCACCATTCTCCCTCGTTCACCACCATTCTCAATGCTCTCTGAACTCGCCCCACTTCTGGGCTCACATGCTGCCATCTGTACACGTCCACCCACTAGGATTCACCCATCTTTCAAATCCAACTAAGTGCCATATCCCTGGTAGAGCCTCTCCTCTGATGGATCACCCCCTTCCCTTGGCTGGCACACAATAGTGCCCTCTATTGGCCTGGCATGAAATCATCTGCACCACTGAAGGCCCCACAGTGGTGGACCACCTAGCACTACGGGGTCCTCGCAGTAGGCACTCAAGAGAATTCCACTGTATTAACCAAATACCACTTTAGTGCGACAGAAATTATAAACTCAGGATAACTGTATGTGTTCCCTAAGAAAACCATTCTCCAAAACAGCCACCTGATTCACCCTCCCTCCCACAATCTTTATGTTTAATACAAGAAATGAAAAGGTTTAAGAAATTATTTAAATTTCCCCTTCAAAGAATATTCTTAAAGCCAAAAGTTGACTTAAACACTATATGACACATGATTTACAATTCTCAGAACAGGTCCAATGTTTCTGGAGTGCCTGTGCGCTGAGCTCCATACCACAACATGAACAAAACAGCCCGGCCCTGTTCTCATGAAGTGGGAAGAGTCAATCAGTTAACCAAGCAAACAAAAGTATTAGAATATACTTCAAAAGAGATGCTGTATATAAATAGCTCAATTTGTCAGAAAGATTATTCATTACTCTAGCGGATTTGGAAGAGACACAGTTGTCCCTCGGTAACTGCAGGATACCAAAGTCCTCAGATGCTCAAGTCCCTTATATAAAACAGAGTAGAAAAATGTAAACAGTCGGCCCTGCCTGCCATCCATGGATACGGAATGCCGAGTGTGCTTGCATTACACTAAATTAAGAGTCTTACAGTTTCACTCTTATTAATTCAACAAATGATTACTGTGGACAATCTTCTATATGCTAGGTATGTGACGATCTGGAGACACCAAAATGGAAAAACATGGTCTGTTCCCACAAAGAACTCACACTCTAGCCAGCAAACTAATTTATGAGACCTGTGAGGTGAGCTAATTCCCACACACCAGAGAAGCTGTCTTAACACTAATGGCCACTCTGAATAAAACGGGGCTGTGGGACAATGTTGTCACAATCTCTTCCCTTTAAGGAAGTTGTTCTCAAACTGGGAGTCCATGGACTTTCAGCAAATCTCTTAGGGAAAGGAGGGGAGCTCCTAAACTACCTGAAATTACAGGCAGAATTTTGTGTGCATAAGTTCCAATACAGACTTTTCTGGGGAAAGAACCCACAGAGGTATACAAACTGAAAGCAGGGTACAGGTTTATCTCATCTTCACACATTTAGTCCCATTAAAAATTAGGGAATGTTATAATAATTTGATCCATGCTATGCCTCCTCAAAAACCACCACTTTCCAAATTAATTAATTCCAAATTGATTCAATGCCTTCTCAGAAATTACCAACCTTCCAAATTAATTCGTTACAGAAACTTCTCAAACAGTAAAACTCATCTTTCAACGCAGCTCCCTGGGATTTAAACACCTGGCACTGATCTATCACACACGAACAAACACTCAAGTTACAGAGGGGTATCTATACGAGAGGGTGCCGAGGGTGCTGATCAAATTCTAACCACCAGATAGGGAAGCTTTACTTTAAGAAAAAAGGATCTCTAAGTGCTACTCAGGTTTTAAATTGACCCCATACATTTATGTTTGTTGTTATGCTTGTTCATTTTAATAGCTCGGCTATTAAGTCAATGAGTTAAATAAAACCTTACCTTAACCAAACCTTTCAAGCTTCTGGAAGAAAATATGGGCTTAAAAGCCTCAACTGTAATTAGGTCCAATTTCATCACGTCAGTGTAACACAAGTACAGAATGGCGGGGATTTTCCATACTTGACAGTAACTCAGAACTAGGAATATACAAGAAAAAAAAACAATTAGGTTTTCTATTATAGGATTTTTAAATTAAACATCTCTAAAAAATAAAGACTGCTTTTAAAAATAAGCATTTACTGTCTCTTTTAATCAAAGCATTTACTGCCATTTTGAATTACAATGCATACTTTTTCAAAGCCAATTATTTTCCTAAATAGTCTCCTGCTTTTGCAAATGTTGTTTATTTTATTTTATTTTTCAATGACAGTTTACATTCAATATTAGTTTCAGGTGCATCACAGAAGTGAATATTGCTTATTTTGCGTTTCCTGAACATACTGCTGAGTCACATCTTAAGTAGCTACAAGATTAAAATTTTGCTGACTATAATAAACAAAATAAATGTAATAAATATATGAAGCATAGTATAAAATATTGAGCCACTTATTCTAATAAACTTAACATTTAAAGGAAAAAAAAACCTTTTCTTTATTAACAAATAACACCTAATTATATACTGTAATATTTACTACTGAAAAGTGACAATCTAATTTGGATATGATGTTAGTAGCAGGAACAAAAAAATATTAAAACTACCAAGATTCAGTACCTAAAACCTACTATTTTGACAATTAAAACATACTTTCACATACTACTAACTTTTATCTAACATGACGAGTTACCAAAGACCAAGAAGAAACAGAGCGACTCTGAAGGGTAACAGTTAAGAACTCTGAGCTATTTAATATAACTGTGTGTGTGGAAAGTTTTTAAACTCAAACCATATAGAACGTACCAGCAACCACAGACACTGAGGATAAACAGCAAGGCATTATTAACCATCATTAACAAACCACCTCAAAAAGCTCTCTCACATGCAAAGTACTATCTATCAACAAAGCAAGAACAAGGTGTAATGTAAAGGTTACGAACTTGAATACCACCTGCTGCAGGGAGATCGTGCGCGATATTCGGTTGTTCCAGCAGCGAACAGCATGGAGACTCCTTGAAATTCTGTGTTTTTAGGGCCTTCAGGAAAGGAGAACGAAGGCTGCTGGTAGGTTCTGAAGCTTTATAGTCAGTAACGTGTCGACACGTGAGAACAGTTACCTGCATAGTCTTCTTTGGACAAGAGCCAAAAACCTAACATATAATTAATTTCAAATTAAAATATATATATAACTTCGTTACAGAACAGAAACATTTCCCTAGGTGTTTATCTAACACCACTCACAGGAACATCATGCCTTGCAGGGGTAGAAGTGTCCATGGAAAACTCAAACACACGCTTTGCTGTCCCCTCACCTAAATTTGATCTTGGTTCTGTCTCTCTCTAGTTGACTGACCTTCCAGTCACTTTGCTCTCCTATGAAGGAAGGACAGCACTACCTACCTAAGGGAGTTGCAGTCTGAGAAAATAAAATCAGGAATAAAGATGGCCAGAGCAGCCACTGTAACAGCCAGAAGTCATCCAGGGTAAATGAGTCACTCAACTTTGAACCCTATGGCAGTCCCGTTCACTCCTTCTCCTATCCACCAATGACTCCTGCAACTGAGTCCTCTTAAACATCACTTTCAAGTGAATTTAAATGAATTTTAAGTAATCCTCCCTCATCCACAGTTTTGCTTTCTGAGGTTTTGCTTTCCGTGGTTTCGGTTACCTGTGGTCAACCGAGTTCTGAAAACATTAAGTGGAAAATTCCAGAAATAAAGGATTCCTAAGTTTCAAATTAGGCACCATTCTGAGTAGCGCGATGAAATCGCACGCCATCCTGCTTCATCCAGCCAGAACGTGAAAATCATCGCTTTGTCCGTGTATCCATACTGTGTACACACACCTGTCACTTAGCAGCCGTCTGTTATCAGATCGACTGTTGAGGTATTGCTGTGCTTGTATTCAATTATTGTCTAATCATTCTGTTTTATTATTAGTTGTTGTTAATCTCTTACTGTGCCTAATTTATCAACTTTATCATAGGTATGTATGTATATACAGGATTTGGTACTCTGCAGTTTCAGGCATCCACTGGGGTCTGGAAACATATCCCCTGCAGATAAGGGGGGATGACTATATACGATGCTTGTAGGCAAGTTTCAATCGCTCTAACCTCAATGTCCTTCTAAGTTTGTATCTGATGGTTTTCCAAGGATTCTTCCAGCTTTTAAAAATTTATGATAATGTAAACAAAGGAAACAGCTATTTCTTTAAAAAAAAAAAAAAAAAAGAGAGGTTTTAGGTCACAGCACCTTGTTTGAAAATATTGTATGAAGAAATGGCTACTTCAAATAATAACAATAGAAGTGAAGATTTTATATTATGTCATAAGTGATTTGCAAGACTAATTTCATTATATCACAGCTTTCTGACTTCATTTAAAAATAATATGACCGCCAAAATTATGGTTATTCTCTAAAATTCCTAATTGAGTTAAATTCACTGAAAATTTTGTATTATAAGGCACATACTATGGTGCATAATTTTCCCCTGAAGTGAAGCCTCAACCAATTCATCATAATGCTAAGAACAATGGGTACATTTTGGAGTGTGGAGTGGCAGCTGAGTGCCAATGCCTGCCTCCCGTGTCCGAGACTTTCCAGTACTGCCGTCTTCACCCTTGGCCATGACCCTTGTTGTAGTCCATGCGTGTAGCTTGTATTTCTTTCAAACAAAATAAGAGCCTGGATGGGAAGGATTCAACTCATGTTCCACTACTTCCATGCCTCTACAACCTACAATCTTTAGCACCATGCTAATTTTGTTTGTTAAATAACTCCTTTTATTCTCTAACAAATTCCTACAATATTTTAAAGAAAAAAAAAACCAAATACTCCCCCCACTTCAGTATCTGACCATGTAGGTTTAAGTGTAAAGATTATGGCAACTCCTGTCCTCAAGGACTCCCGGCCGCATCTCTCACCTTTTCCAGCCACTGATACTGCTGATCTTCAGCAACGTAGCAACTGCACTGACAAAGGAAAACCTGAAAAACCAAATTCCAAGTTTTTGTAGGGTCAAATAAATTTTATACACACCCCACACTGTCACCGGATACATCGTGACTATCCTAACATAACACTTAGATAACACTTATTGTCCTGAATTTGCTATTGGCTTACTTTTCTTTAAAATTTAAAATTTAAGAGTCAAGCTACTACTGGCAATTACTATTGGAATAAAGTGAACACTGACTGGGAGCTGGCATATGAGACAATGAAGATACTCCCAGTAAAGATGGCCAGAATCCTCTTTATAAAACAGGGTAGTATCAGCCCTGCTGCAGGTCACACTGTGAAGACCACACTCAAAATCAGTACCCTGTGGAATGCAAGCACTATATCAACAAGTCTAGCAGAGCAAACAATAGCGGCCTGACAGGACCTCAACCCAAATTGTATCCGGAAGTGCTGCTGATGACTGTGAGGATGGTGTTTAGAAACCAAGTTCCAGACCACACACTCCAGGTGAAATAACTTGCGACGCCACGAGGCCAGAAAAGGATGAGATCCCTGATTACAAACGTTCATGGAGCAATTCTATCCACAGAAGTCAACCACGTCTTCTCTTAAAATAGTGCCAGATACGCTAACTGCACAAAGCAAGCACAAGAGGGGAAAGTGGGTCCCAGGACAGGGGAAAAGAAGAAGACTGGATACATAATTAGCTGCACACATAGATTCTGAATAATCAAGAGATATCTGCCCTGGCAATTTTGGCTCCATGGTTAGAGCGTCAGCCTGTGGACTGAAGGGTCCCGGGTTCGATTCCGGCCAAGGGCACATACCTCAGTCACAGGCTTGATCCCAGGCCCCAATCAGGGCACGTGCAGGAGGCAACCAATTGATGTGTCTCTCTCATATCCATGTTTCGGTTTCTCTCTCTCTCTCTCCCCCTTCCACTCTCTCTGTAAAGCAAAGGAAAAAATATCCTGAAGGATTTAAAAAAATAATAATAATCAAGAGATATCTAACCAATGAATGATACAACCAGACGCAGTAACAGAAATTTATCCTACCTGACCTTCACTATCTATTCTAAAGTCAAACTTTCCTACTAATGATCAGGTAAAGAACATGCTTAGTTTCCTGATTAATTTCCATAAATTCTGGATGTTTTATAAAAATCCTTACAAAATTTCAATAACTTTGGAGTACACCCTATAGAAACAAACTATGAGTATTGCAAAATCAAATTCTACAGCTTTGGGGCCGACACGTGCTCTTTATCTTTTGAAATAAGCAACATGATAATATTATGGGTTACTGACTTCTCCACTGTTTGAATCCCTGCCCTGGCCTTTGTTCTAGTATCCAGCAGTGTTGGAACAGAACTCTTATCAGACAAGCAGACGGGCAGACATGTCACCTGCTTGGCCACCTCATCTGCCTGACTTGTCTCCCAAACTGCCCAGCACACTGCGTTCTCTGAATGGACCCAAGAGAAAAATTAGGACAAATACAACCCAAAGAAATCACAGCATCAGCTACAGAGTGTCTTTTCTGACTTAAAAAACCAGGACAAATTAGGTTAGGATGAAAGCTTGATGTCACCTGAATTGTATTTACAATGCATAAAGCATTCATTTGTTCAACAAACATTAACTGAGTTTCTAGCATGTACCAGGCACTGGCTAAACACTGGCTTATACAGCAACACAGCAGAACTCCCTACTTTAACAGAACCAAGACATTTTTGCTCATTTGGAGTCATCAACTAAAATAACCTTTTGAATGAGGGCAACAGTTAAATACCTAATGTTTATGGTTTGTTTCTATATCAGAATTTCCTAAGGACTTTACCAACGGTGTATAAACAACAAAGTGGTCACTACCCTGCCTACAGGCAGAACTCCTCAGCCCAAAAGTAGATAGAAAGGAAGGTGGAATTCAAATGAACACTACATCAATGATGCCTACACAACCACGTCTTAAACATACAAGGTAAGTTCCACATACCGAGGGATTTGACTTTAGATGATAAAACACACAAAAAGCCTCTGTGGGGGACAGATGTATGTTGTCTGTTGTTCTACACCATTCATTCCAGAGTTTAGCACAGCCAACTTCTTCCCAGACTCCTGAATTCATAACAAATGATGACAAAAATGCTGTAGAAAAATTTACATAAGTTAGCATTTGGTTCTGCAAGTTGCATTTTCTAGTCAATAAAAAACAAGTTCATTCATGTGACTATAGAATTTTAGGGCTAAAAGAGCCATTCCAGGCCATCAACTTTACACCACAATTTTGCAGAAAAGGAAGCAGGCCTTAAGAAGTCAAAGGTCACGCCCGGAGTACAGACGGTATTAGAGCCAGGAGTTGACAAGGTTTACTGACACATACTCTCACAATGCAGTATTTACCTGGAATATTTTAGGCTAGAACTTTGTATAAATGAGTCAGTAGTTATTTACCCAGTACTTGTTCTGAGAGTACTAGGGCTACCTTAAAGGACAAAGGATCTTAACTAGAGTTCCCAAATGTTCTCTCTGAACCAGGGAACCCCTATAATTACACAGGTTTGTGCACTTGCATGTGTACGTTGTTCTAGCTGAACCAGGCACCATTCTAACTTTACCTTCTCAAATGGATTCATTTATGTAAAGACCTTAGAACTTAAGTACTCAAAATGTTAGTGATTATTATTTTTAGAGTTTTCATCATGTGCTCAAAGGAGTCTGTTAATTCATAAACATTTAAGAACCAATGCTACAAAGGGGCTATACACATATGCCACCTCTGTCACTCCAAGTCTGGCCTAAACAGGCCCTGGAACTTAAGGAATCCTAGATACCTGAACACACTAGAACCACTTCCTTGAGTGTGTTAGTTCCTAAAGCCAAGAACATTTCTGTAAATCTTACTTTTTAAGCTTATCAAAAAGACAGTGCCACATGAGCAATGAAACATTTTACTCAAATACAAAGCAACTCTACTATGACTTTTTCTTGAAAAAAAAATTTGAAGTCTTTTATGATAAAAAGAAGTAACTTGAGATTTTATTCTTTCAACAAATTGTCTGGTCTAATGCATTCCCACTCACCCACTGCATTATTTCCAACAGCAATTATAAACTTGGAGCAAGGGTATTTTTCCAGCAGAGAAACTTCGAAACATGTTTTTGTCTGTCTTCGAAGGAGCCGCACCTCCCTAACACAAGAGAAAAAAAAAAGGTGAAACTAAAGTAACTTAAATATAAATAGTACCTTATTATGATAAAAAGAATACTTACTATACATATGATTTTGTAGTAAGTAAAATACAAATTTTGATTTTATAAAGAACATAATTATAATCCTCAGGAAACAATGGAATCTGGCCATGACAACAGAGAAAACCATTCCATACAAAGTTCCCGGAGAACTCTACAGCAGAGGCCAAGCTGCCCACAGGACCCACCGACCAGCCAATCTTAGCATCCCTAAAAGTGGGACAACTGGACAGAGGGTGCCATAGGGAACACCAACCACCACCTCCGAAGCACTCTTCCCAGCAACATACTGAACCTGAATCTGACCAAGCCTCTAGAAGGAACTTCCACTTACAGGAAATGCAGGTGATGGAAACATGTGAAAGGACACCAAGAAGGAGCAATCGGGTAAATCCAGAGTGTAAGGGGTCCTACAGGGCAACCAGCCTCTCAGCAAGAGAGAAAACGGAGGGGGGCTGCTCTACACGAAAGGAGGCTGCAGAGATAAAACGTCTAGGGTTCTGAGTTACACAAACGCAACTGTAAAATGTCACGTCTGAGACTAGAAAATAATTATCCAAAAATTAATAATGTTGTCAGGGGTGACAATAGCAAAAGGAAGAAAATGCCTATAGCATTTGAGACGCATTCTGGAAAAAATGTACAGGTGAAAGGGCCATGGTGGTCTGGACTCAATTAGGGGTGGCAAGATCTTCATTTCGCTATTTTCTCCAATTTTTGTGTGTTTGAAAATCATCCTTTCTTAAAAAACAAGACATCCACCTGCTATTGACACACGATGCTAACCCAAGTGTGGGGCGGAGAATAAAGCTTTAAGGAGGTTGCCTTATGTCCATGAACCAAACACATGACACACGTGGGGCAGGAGGAGACAGGCTGCAGCCCGGACGAAGTTCCAGGGGGCGGGCGGCCGCCTGCCCCCGCGCTGAGGGGGGTCTTGCGGGCCGGGCCTTTGACGAGCACGTGAGCCGACCACCCGCCCGAACTGCAGGCC